CAATCATTTCCCGTAGTTCCTGAGATTAGCGCGTTCAAACAAACAAACAAACTCTACAGCTTTACATTAGTATAGATATAAATCTGATTTGAATTCATAGTGTATATAATAATGATAATTATGTTTTAGATGATGTTATTGAATATTCAACGATACCGACGAGACGAGGAAAACATTTACTGATAGTAAACGGCTTTACTTTTTCTCAACATATGCATACACTCAACTACTATTGCTCAAAGAAAAATGCAGGTTGCAAGGCTCGCATTAAGCTCACTCCAGACAAAAGGATTATAGTTGGTTATTCGATAATAGGCTCGCACGATCATGATCCGCCAGAATACGTGATTACTTCCGAAGGAAAATATATTAAAATTCCATCGAGTTGAAGACAAAACGACGAACTTTGTCTTAACAGTTTGAAATGCGATATATATTAGTTAAACTTATTTGAAAATTATTTTAACAACTTGCCGATGTTTTGGCCAGTGGTCACGGGGAGACTAAAGATGGAGGATGTCTCTGGCATCAAAGTTAGAAACTGTTACGCTAGCGCTATTTATTCCGTCGACTTTGGTATTTGGTATTTCAAATTTTGTGATGTTTCTATTATAGAATAAATTATCTATGATTTCTTGGTACAACGAGTGTTATATTATATTTCATTCCAATTTCTTTAATCTACACTAATATTATAAAGAGGAAAACTTTGTTTTTTGGTTGTAATGAATAGGCTCAAAAACTACTGACCGTTTTTAAAAATTCTTTCACCATTCGAAACTACATATCCAGAGTAACATAGGCAAAATTTTATTTTGGAAAAAATAGGTTCCTTAAAATATTTGTTTTTCGGACACAAATTAAAAAATCAACCAGAAAATTACTTATTTTGCGTAGTGCTAAACTATAAAAGATAGAAGCATAAAATTTCTAATTAATTGAGATCTTATAAATATCTACAAAAAAGTCCCGACACACTATACCTATCTATTCGAGTGAGGCACAACAAGCATTTTTTTATTTAAAAATCTTAATTTTTTTTTGGACTACATTTAAACGCATTTATTTTACTCATGTATTAATCCTTATCAAAATAAATTATTTCATCACTAAGTACTGTTTATGTAATAAATTTGGTATTTAAAAGATTAAAATTGGACTTTGTTTTGAAGTTATGGCGAAATTAAAATATTACTATTTCTGTTGGAAGTGGGGTACAGGGGGGGTGGATGGAGGGGAGTTTAGATCTATAGTGAAGTTAAGTGCTATAAATCCATAGACACCGTCACTAACATCGAGGACGCAGTACACTATCCCCAGGAATTTTTATATTCTCTGAACCCCGCTGGGCTACCACCTCATGAACTGTCTTAAAAGTAGGCACGCCGATAATGCTTCTAGAAATTTAACCCCTAACATGTGTAATGGCACGAGACTTCTTATAAAGGAGCTAAAAGATAATTTAAAGTAGCGAAGATTATCACCGGCCCTGCAGTGGTGAATTAGCTCATATACCAAGAATACCCATGATTCCTACTGATTTGCCTATACCCTCAGGCTCCAATTTCCAGTAAAAATTTCTTTCGCACTAACGATAAACAAATCCCAGGGCCAAAATTCAAATTAGTAGGAATTGATTTAGAAAAGAATGTTTTAGAGGAACTTTAGTTCCCTATCAGGGTGTGTCGACCATCAGTATATTTTTTACCAGAAAATAATTTAACGTCTAATTTCTTTATAGAGAAGCTCTAGATAATCGCTTTATTTATCTATCTAAAACAACGTTACATTGGACTCCGGAGAAGTGAAAACTTAGTATTAATTACATTTAAATATTTTCATCATTTTATTAACAACTTTAACATCCTCATAAAAACAATCTATGCACTGTGGATAATGATATTTTTGTCCATCTTGGGAAAACGATATGAATTGATTTTTTTTTTAAGTGGAGATAGTTAAATAAAAGGATGACAGTACATGGGTATTTACACCAAAAGTGTGGTGAGTTAATAATAAAGTTATCAGGTTCTGGGACCAGTGAAGCCAAAGTTGCCAAGAAAGGTGTTTAAAATTATAAACACAGTTTTGTGTCGTTTAGGCCGAGAAAACTACAATACTTGGAGATTTGCGGCAAATTGATTGCCACACCATTAATTTAATAAACAGTATTAACAGGTACCTTTTTCTTTGTCACTTTCATGTGGTAATATTTAGACAGATTCAATGACATTTTATTGCTTTGACACCACAAGAGTAAAAAATCTAAGTCATTTTACAACTTTAGAACATCTTCAGTAGTACGAATAATTCTATAAATCTTGAGATCATTAGCATACATTTAAAAATTAGAGGACAACAAAGCACAAATCATTTATAAAAAAATTACAGGGATCTACAGATGTGACCTAATTTTTGTATTAGTAGATTATGTTGTACAAGATCGAATGCTTTAGAAAAATCGGTATAAATAATGTGACTATAAAATCCGTTTTTAATGCCATCCGAGATATCACTAATGTATTCAACTAGGTTGGAAAAAATTGATTTGCCAGGAAGAAAACCATTTTGATGAGAGTCAATAAATGCTTTAAAGAAAAACAACAATCTTTGTCGAACTAATTTTCCTAAGGATGATAATATTGATATTGGCCTATAGTTAGCCACATTTTTTGAGTCTTCTTTTTTATGGATAGGTCTAACAAAGGCTGTCTTCCATTGATTCATTGAAAAACAAGAAAAGTTGGTGGAATACCGTCAGGTCCAGGACCCTTGTTAGGATCTATACTACGTAGTCAATTAAGTATGTCAGGTTTGGGTAAAAAAATTGAACCCATAGAAAGACCGGACGTTGAAGAGGAACAAGATATCAATGAATTGTTAGTCAATGAAGTAACATACATGGAATTAAAATATTCTGAAATCGCTTTACCACCGTGAGCTCTCCAATCATTAGAAAATCATAACATCCGGCATATCGCTGCGGTGTATATTTTTTGATTATAGGAAAAATAGTATCGTAAAAAACTTCAACAACATCAACTAACACTTCGGGTTTTACCTTTTCATTCCAATCAACCTTTTCCAAGGCAGCTTTAATGTTTACATACTCGGCTTTATTTAAAAGAAAAGGCTCTTTGCTAGGGGGGTTTATTTTTACAGATTTAAGAGATATAACGAGCGCAGGGTGTGATTTCAATTTAAAAAAATATTAAATAATAATGTCTTGTGAATTAAGTTAATAAAGTCCACGAAAGGCCATCTTGTCAACAAAAATATTTTTTACCACAAAATTTGTGGGCAGAGCACTCATGTAATCAGTGCTTACGTCCAACTGCCATTTCAAATTGGGTAAATTAAAATCCCCTGCTATTAAAAGTTAATTAGTAGTTTTTTTGGAAGTTTATGTTGTAAGATATTTGATTCAAAATCAGTTAATGTAACGGGTAGTGGTAAGTAAAGAGTGCAAATACAAATTACAAGTGGAATTATTTAGGTGGAGTTTTATGACTATCCCAATATCTAAAAAATGAGATTCCCATTTTACCTACCTGTTGGCGAATACTTTTTTAAAAAGGCCACTAGAACACTACCTCCCCTACTTTTACTGCTACTAGTTGTATTTCTATCTCTTCTGAAAATGTTATACCTGCTTTCAACTATTTCGTGGTCACAAACGGAAGCATCTAGCCAAGTCAATTCGGTGAATAGTATTATATCCCAGTCATTTCGTAACACTTTAAAGTATTAAGGAAAAGACATTTTGTTACGATTTGAGGCAAAACAATAAACCATATAGATTAATAAAGACGAAAATACAAAAAAAAATACTTAAAAAGTAATTTAAGAGAATACAAAAAAATAAGACTATATTTTAGAATGTTTAGAAAACGAAGATCTTTAACGATAAAGGTCTTGGATTTAATATTTTTGCGCATAAATATCTTTCCCCACCCAAAGAAATTCAAATTGTTTCTCATTTGTGATGCGGTGAGCGGCAGCATTTATTTTCTTGTTTGCCGGTGGAAGATGTTCGCATACATATACTGGTTTTTTGTCACCAGCAAGACCTAAATGCAATGTGTTTAACTTATCGTCTTTGTGGGTTCGGTTAAAACTCTTCACGGCGGTCAGTAATCTGTCGCGGACAAAAACACTACTTAATTTAACTATAATAGAACGAGGTCTACTGGAATTAAAAATTAATTTTAGCAACTCGATGAAAATTCGATATCTCCTGTTCAGAAAGAGTACACCCCGTAATTGATGCAACTTGGTTTATAATCGTATTTAAATTCTCGCCTCTACGCTCCGGAACACACTGGACTAATAATTATAATCATTCGATATTACAGAAATAGTAAAAGAGACTTTGGTATCGATCGGCATCTCTGGCGATGGGAAAGGCGGAAATGGATGCCTGTAGATCTTCTTCATTCTCAGCCAAATCGTTGAGGAGCTCCACCAAGTACTTTTTACGCTCACCGATGACTTTTGCAATGTGCTTAGCAAGACTGTTCCTTCTTCAGCATCATTTTGCGATGTTCCAGTTCACAGTTACCGGGTTCTTCCTTTAGTTGTCTAAGTATATTTTCGGAGTCGTGATATAGTTAATCGCAGAGTTCCAGGACCGATTTTGCATCCTGGGACTCGCTGTTACTTATCTCTGTTAGTGGGTACTCCACCCATAATACAGTCAAACGAATGAAGCGGGACACAAGACCATCGCCCTCTCTGTATATGTGAAGAACGTGAGTGTACGACATTAAAAGCCTCTTGTAAGACGGCAGACGCACCATCGATTTCCCACACTAATTGTATTTAAAATAAGTTTGGTCTGGGATGTAATCTTTGTTCGCGATGAGACGTGGTCCAACCTCTTATGGTGTGCCATGGTTAAGGGAATTCTATACAACGGTTGCTGTACCTTCGGAACAATGGCGTTGTCTTGTCTGCTTTATTTGCGAAGCGACAGTTCAGTCGAAAGTTCAAAGAGCGTTTTAACTTTCGATGTTCAGACCTCTCCTTTTTGGGTCGTCTCGTTCTTCTTGTTCAACAGTTTCATCTTTGTTTGCATCTTCCTTCATCTTTTCCTTCGGTTTCATATCTCCGCGACCAATTATTTCTCCACAATCCATATTATTCGGTACAATGCCTTGATATGCATGGAATGCCTAAATTTGGCAGGAATATTAAAGTAAGAAATTAATTAACATTTCCCGCCTTTCCATAATTTTTATTTGCCAGTATTACATACATACTGCGATGTTTCTTTTAAAGAATAAATTATCTATGATTTCTTGGTATAACGAGTGCTATAGCTTCGAGAGCCTTAGCGGTTAAATGGAAAAATGCTTGACTAACATTGAGTTAAGCATGAGAGGTCCTGGGATCTCAGGAATCCGATAAATTGTTTCGGTTTAGCAGAGCCCAAAGGTTTGATGGATTTGATTTAAGCTAATAAAAGTAGATTGTCCAATTTCCAAATAAATTTATTTTATCTGCATTTTAATTATTCTTATTATCGAATTTGTTACTAAACACTAAAATTGTTATTCCATATTTTAGAATTCATACACTATGAAATGATACCAACAAGGATGGGAAAGCACCTACTAGTAGTTGGCGGATTTACTTATTCCCAAGACCACAATACGCTTACCTACTATTGTTCAAAGAAAAATTTAGGTTGTAAAGCTCGAATCAAACTTACGCAGGATAGAAAAATTTTAGTAAATCAATCTATGACTGGTTACCACAATCATTATCCGCCGCATTTAGTTCGCTTGCCAGATGGAAGATGTCTGAAAATTTCGTAGATCTATAAAATTCTACTTTCAACCCAAAAGGGAAAAAAAATCCGGGGAAAGAACGTTTTGATTGGCTGGGGCACAAAGTCTGATCCACTACTTGCCTTTAAGTGACAGCCATTAGTGAAAAGGACACAAAAATTAGTTTGCTGCTAGCTCCACCGGGGGAAATGGAATTTCACTTTTTTATATTTATTACACGTATTAGTGTCCACGTTTTCAAGTATTTGAAGGTCAAAGATCAAATACCGTTTTTTGCATATTTATTTCTGGTATCTTTTTTATATGGGTTTTATGCTATTTAAGAATAGATATTTCTATGTTTCCCTTAATAAATTCTAATAAGGTTTATCTTTTAGTTTGTCATCTTGTTTCGTGTTCTGGATAGCACGATTGAATAAAGAAGTGGGGTATATATTTGTTTTTGAATAAGCGTAAAAAACCTAAAGTAATAAAGGGTAACGGTGACTTTGACTTAACAGTAAAATGCAATTGTTTTAGAACGGTTCATCGAATACCAAATGGTCCCCACAAAAGCTGGTGGGCTAAACTACTAATGGTCGGGGGCTTTACACATTACCAACATAACAGATCATTAAACTACTACTGCTCCAAACGGAGGTCGGGATGCAATGCGCGACTCAAACTCACTTGTGACAAGAAAATTTTAGAAGAATATTCGATCATCTGGAATGGAACTTACGTGAAGGTCGCCTAAACACGGAAGGATCATACAAAAATAAGAACAAAGACTTATAAGAACCAGTACCCTATCCAATAGCAAAAGAAACGTTCTAAAAAAAGCAAATGCAGTTAAAAGATATTCCGTTGTAGTTAGGTAATTTGTTGATTGTAGACAACGAGGTGTCCTGGCTCGGTCGAAATCGTATTTGAATGTTGACTAAAACAATCCTGTGTTACAAATAAAGTAACGTATTTCTACGATCTGTAAGGCACTTGAAAGATTCATTTACGTTAGGTATATAATAAAATATTTAAAATTAGAGTTTTAGAAGCATCTTGAACTCGTCGCGGACAGTATGCTGTTGATGCTTTGTTATTCATTTCTAAATTTAAAATTGTATATACCTATAATATTTCCTCCTTTTAATATGACAGACGAACGTAGGCAATTATGGGATTTTTTTGATTAAACATGAAAATAACTAGATATATATAACACGCTTTTGACAACAAATGTTTCCAGTCTAAATTGTTTCAATCACGTTGGACCCGTAGGGTAGGTATACAAGGTAGGAGTTTATTAACTAGATTGCTAGCAATCGAACAGCCATCCTGCCAAAAATGTTTTTAATAATAATGTACTTTTTTTCAGTTGACATCGAAATTGAGTACGATATGATACAAACACAGTATGGACAACCACTTTTGAGGGTACTAGGATATACTTATTCAAAAAACAGTCCGAATACTTACTACTGCTCCAAAAAACATGCTGGCTGCAAAGCTCGAGTGGCTCTGACCAAAGATAAGAGAATTTGTAACACTTCGCATCTTAATATCCATAATCATCCGCCACCAAATTTTTTCATTTCGAAAGATGGTGTATACGTTAAAACACATTGATTTGTGTGTGTGATTTTAATGTGTATTCTTACAGTCTGTATTGTTTTAGTAATGTAAGGACGTGTGTATTTGTAAGACGTAGAGGTTTTCAACAGGAGCAGGGCATTAAAAGCGTGTACAGAACTGACTCACAGTAGCTATTGTTTTGTCGCTCTTGGGCAAGCTTATTGAATTTTTTTAACATACATATAATTTGCAAATCTCTAAATAAAATAAAGTTCTTTTTTTATTCTCTCCTAAATTGCAGATGCTTCCATCGAATATAAGGTGATACCTACGCCAGCTGGAAAGCGTCTACTGATGGTGAACGGCTATACGTTTTCCCAACGCGGAGCTTCTCTTTTCCTTTACTACTGCTCCAAAAAAAAGTTTGGATGCAAGGCTCGTTTAAAGCTCACTAGGGACCACAGAATTTTAAAAAGATCAATTTTTGATTTTCACTCACACCCACCACCACACTACGCAACGTTGAAAAATGGAACTTACGTAAAGATACAATAATACTTTCGCCTTTTCTTTATAGTTCAAATGTGAGACAAATTTACTAATAATAATAACTTTACTAGTTACTAAACAATTGGGTAATTTATTAACTCTTCTAGATTCGTAGGTATACCTAATTTCTCTTATGTTGTATTAATAAGCCTATAAATAATGTTATTTGAAAAATTTAATATCTTCACATGTAATTCCACATGATGGAATTACATAAATTAAAAATCTTTTAGATGAAATAAATACAAAAGTTTACTCTGTGATTCTATCTTTAATGATTGCTCAAATTGCAAAGGATACCACATGGCATCTTAGTAAGTAAATGTTAAAATTTCGCGCGATGTGTTTTAACATTTAAATAACATTGTTCGAAAAGTCCATGTATCTATGTGCTGCGTAGATCGGTGTGGATGCCGGTTTATGTCCCGCTCGCATATTTTTTTCCTTTGTAAATAGATTTTTTATTAATCATCTAAAGCGGCGCTTAAACTCTTCCTGTCATCATGAATCCTAATGAATATATCTATAATAAAGTATATTTTATTTTTCAACTAACCTTATATATTAATAATTTCTAAATGTATATTTGTAATTTATATAAATGTATGTTGTAATTTAAGTATATAGCCACAAGACGAGTGTCCAGAATATTTGTTTAAGCAAAGCAAAGAAGGTTTCTCGATAGTAATTTTTAACTAAAAACATGTGTATTTCTAGATTCAGACATTGACTACAAACTGATACCTACCCGATTTGGAAAGTATTTATTGATGGTGAATGGCTATACGTTTTCTCAACATGGCGGCTCCCGGATCAATTACTACTGTTCCAGAAAAGGTAGTGGCTGCAAGGCCCGTGTGAAGCTAATGAGAGATATGAAAATTTGCAAAAAATTTTCCAATGTAAATTGTCATACACATCCGCCACCAGACTATGCTGTTTTGGCCGACGGCACTTACGTAAAAATTTGATAGTCATTTTTTGTTCCCTTACAGCAAAATTAAAATCCAGAGTCTTTTCCAAAACTATTGGAATGGGATATGTTATTTTTCTAGTAGCAAAGCAATATAAAGCTAATAAGTTCTCTAAAGTGTTGTAATATGAAAATGTCAAATAAATGGCACAACTATACTTTATATATTTGATTTTGATGGTTGGGTGGGGGTTGTTGAATATATTTTATTTAAATTTGGGGGTTAGGACACTGTTTGCGATAGTTTGTTAAGATTTTAAGACAAGGAAGTAAGACGATGGAGGGATGCTATATAAGGGTGCGATACCCCTCCTCCGGAGAGTACTTATAGTTTTTTTTATGATTTTTTTAAATTTTTGAGGGTAGGACTCATATTGCAATATGTTGTCATGGTTTCAGACAAGGAAGGAAGACGATAGAATGTTATAGGAGGGTGGGTTTCCCTTCAAGAGAAATGTGCGATTGCTCATAGGTTTTTCTTATTGAATAAAATTTTTGAAAATAATAAAATAATCATCTTTTTTGAGAGTTTACGTAGGTTTAAACAAAAAATAAAGCGTCAAAATGAATACTTTCGACGCTACAATACAATTATATTCGCTAATCACGAGTATCTTACTCAAAATTTTAAAAATTAATATCCCAAAAACTAAGAATTTCCTCACGTTGAAATTTTATGAGTATATATATATTTGGTACGATCTATCAACCATAAAATTTTCAGTACTCAAATCAAAGGTATGTAAAGTAAAACTGAGCCAATTTAAAGGCTACCAGGTAGTAAGCACCAGCAGCAAGTAACTAAATGGACAACTAGTTTAATTAATCGCAAAAAAATACTCTCCCCCGTTCACTACAATGTATTAAATTAATATGAATTATTATTTCCCTAGTATGCTCAAACTTCAATCTCAAGCCGTGTCCACATAGTTATAATGCCAAATTTTTGAGATACGAGGTGTATCATATATCTCTTTATACCGTGTCTGTAATTATAGCTTAAGTATGTAGACCCTGTAAATAAATACAAAAAATTGTTTTAGTATCTTGTTACATTCACCTTGTATGAAGTGAACATGGGCTTGTCTGTAAAACAGTTTTAAAGGAATAGCTGTAATAAAAGAAGGTAGTATTCTATACACAAAGTAACTTTATAATTTGAAATAAAATAAATAAAAGAAAATCCTGAAGTATGTGCATACGGAAACCGTAGCAGTTCTTAATTAATATCATGTTTGACTTTTAGATCTATACGTTGATTCCGAGACTATACCAACTCGTTCGGGGAATTACCTCTTGATGGTAGAGGGCTACACTTATTCGCGACTTAGTAAACATACCTACGGCTGTTCAAAAAGGACTGCAGGCTGTAAGGCGAAATTATGGCTCACACGGGATGGTAAAATATCAAAAACAAGATCGTTCTTTGGTACTCATTCTCATGCGCCACCGAGTTATTACAAAACTTCAGCTGAAGAATATATCAAGCTGTACTAGAGTTTAACTATACTTAAAGCGGTCGAAATTCGACCATATTAAATAATGTATAAATTCACATCTTGTAATAAATTAGTATATTATTTTATATTGTGTGTAATTTACGCGATTGGTACACATTTAAATTAAACATTAATTAAATACTGTCTATAGTTTACGCCAGTAGTACACATTTAAATAAAACACTTTAACGGTTTAAAACGCGATATATTAGTTAAATTTATTTGAAAATGATTTTTAACCTCGGCCCGACGTTTCGGATGCTTTGCAGCAGTCGTGGTCACGGGGAGAGGTCACAGTCGAAGTTAAAAATCATTTTCAAATAAGTTTAACTAATATATCGCGTTTTAAACCGTTAAAGTGTTTTATTTAAATAAACATTAATGGTTTAAAGTAACGATTCGGGTATTCTACAACAGTCGCATGGGAGGTTGAATAACCAAAGCCAAAATAGGCCGACAGCGCATCGTGTTTAGATGTTATATGGCTGGGGTATTTCACCTACCATCAAGTGAAACCCATGTCTGTCTCTCCTCCTCTATCATAAAAAGTTCGTAGTTTAAAATTAGTTACTTATTTTGTGTTTTAAACCGTTAAAAGCGTTGTATTGTGATATTATCTTAAATTGTTAATGTATTAAAAGTTGGTTTAATATTATTTAAATTTTTAGACATCCAAATTGGTTACGAGGCAATACCGACTCGTTCAGGGAATTATTTGCTCATGGTCATGGGCTACACTTATTCTCAGCACAGCAAACTTACGTACGTTTGTTCTAAAAGGGCCGCGGGATGTAAGGCGAAATTGAAACTTACGTACGGTGGGGAGATTAGTACTATTGGTACTCACAACCACCCACCACCTTTCTCAGATTGATCACTTTAACGGAATTGTTTGTAAGGTGAAGCAGAATAGCTAAATGTTAGTTTTCTTATCTGTGATATTTTGTTGTTATTAATTTTCGTCATTTGCTCGTTGCCATTTTGTAATCTGTATGTAGTAATATGTTATTATTTATTCGATACTGCTTATGGCTCTATGAACTGCCAAAATGCGTTTATCTTGAGTTTAATTTAGCTAATCGTTGTTTGGCAGTTTATTGAATCCACAACTAAAATGTAGCAATTCTGTCAATTTGATGTTTCTATTTTCATGTTTATTTTATAGAGCAATTTAAAAGAACGCACATTAAAAAATTGTTGAGAATTGACAGCGACAGCATTTCACGGTTATTTAATGTGTTTTTTGACTTTAATAAATTAAAACGATTAGGGGCTTTGGAAACCCAATGACAGGTAAACCAGGTTTTGACGTAAGATATCAGGTCTTAAGTAATTCGAGTTGTAGCGGTAACCACCTCACCATAATTATGTTAAACATTAGCAAATAAATGTATCTCATTTGTTAAATGTTTCAATCATCTCCTCTTTATCTGCCAACGACGAATGTACAGTTACGTTTTAATACGTATATGAATGCATTTTTATTAGCGGTGTGTCAAACAATTTATAATAAAAGTTCAGGCAGTATTGTCTATATCCAATTGATAACGTACAAAACTTCCAGGTTTTGTTCCAATATACGAAAACTGAGGTAACACGAATATGGTATAAAAAAGTCTTGGTGTGAGACTATTAATAGCTATTCAGGTGATAAAATGAAGGTACTTTTTTATTTAGCATTGATATTAAAAATATATATACTTGCAGGTCCAGTGTTCACAACATCCGCGCGTGGAGCGCGGATGATCTCATTCCAGGGGTACAAGTTCCTCAGACAGTGCGAATCGGGGCAAAAGACCAGATGGTGGTGCGGTACACACAATAACCGGGGGTGCCGAGCCAATATACATACTATCGGCTCTTCAATTGTACGCTTCAAGAATGTTCATAACCACCCACCTACGGTTGGCGTGACACCGAATTATGGGAACAACTATGTTTATCAGAAGTGATAGCTTGTCTCCGCCTATTACATACAACAATTAAAAAAGAAAAGTGATCAAAGTATAATAAACAACCGCGGTCCGAGTTTCAATTCGATTTGAATTGGGCATGTTAATAATCTGATCTACTACTTATTATTACTAATTGCGTTAAGAAATTCGGTCCGTAACATTGATTCAAAAATGTCTTTGCCCCATACCTCACAAAGAACAAAACTGATTCCATACTTTGCAGTATTACTCCTTTTTTGAGCTTTAGTTTTCTAGTTTTAGTACTAGAAACTAGGTTATTGTCTATACGTATATTGTCGTAGGCTTTCGACTTGAGGAGAGGTACAGTTTTGTTGGACAAACACATGATTCATGACCCAGGCATGGGTAACTCTTATAAATGTATTTTATTTTTTATCGATTTTAAAACTATCAGTAAATCGTTTTTCACCTCTGTGGTAGCGAGCTTCTTTATAGCTTTTCCGGAATTGGAAATGGACTGCCTAAGATCAGTCTTTCTAACTAAACAACCAAATTATTTTGCTGTATAATAGAAGACAAGAAAACGGATGAGAACTTTTTACGTCTTTTCGTAAGTTTTATGCCACAAGAAATATATATTATAAGGAAAATAGATGTCAAGGAGTATATAGTTTTGTCCTACAGCAACATAAATGGTTTTTACTTTGTGACTATTGCCAAGTTTTGGTTCCAATAATTCTAGCCAAAGCAAATATTGTAAATGTTACAGGGCTTAAAATATTTATTGTTCGTAGCTACGGACTTGGTATTTATTTAGGTGGGGGATCAGATAAAATATTAAAGTATATTCAGAGTCAAATGTCGAATAAATTGGCAGCTAGAGTGATCGTTGTCCTGTCGTATTTTTGTGGGTAGTTGTGACAGAATACAAATTAGCTCGTGTTTTTTTTGCTTTTAAAATTATACATCGCGTCTTTTTCTTAATAGTATATATATAAAAGAATGTGCTAGATAACAGCCTAAGTGCCAGTTATATAAATTTTCCTCTGCCTTAATTGTGTTCCTAAGTTTTGGTGTGATACATAATATAACCTACAAGTATGGCCTCTCTTCACACTGTTGTCTCTGATATGACTTCTACTTTTAACAAACAAATGGAAGACTTCCGGAAACAGCTTCAGGGTATATCTACAACTACTAAAGACCCATCTGCTAAACTAGCGACTGAGTTTGAGTCTTTCCGATTGTTTGTCTTAGACTCACTACAGGCCCTGCAAAGCCAAGTAAGTGCACTCATGAATATCAGTGATGATCAGGAAATGCGTTCCAGACACAAGATGGTTCTCTTTCATGGCATTGCTGAAGATGACAACAATAACCCTATTGGGGAAGTTTTGCAAATTGTTTCCAAGAAGCTTCATTTGCCTAACATCAATGAGGAGGCAATAAGTCGATGCCAGCGACTAGGCAAAAAGCTGACTGGCTCAAAAGCTCGTCCAATAATTGTTAAATTCCGTGACATGCAAGTTAAGGAGAATATATGGAAAGCCAAAACTAATCTCAAAGCTAGCGGTGTGACTGTATCTGAGTTTTTGACAAAGAGGCGTCACTCCATCTTTCTACAGGCTAGAAAACAGTTTGGCTTGAACAATTGCTGGACTAAGAATGGAGCAATATATATTCTCGACTCTGCGGGAAAGCGACACCGAATTACGTGCGAAAATGATCTTCACGACGTCACCCCAGTTGATGTTTCTACCGGACCTGAAATTAACAAAAGTAATCCTGGACCCAGTGAAGATCACGATGCCGGTGTAACCACAAGGCCGAAACGAATTAACTCCAAAGCCAAACGTTAATTCGAAAGTCACAGTTTTTGCCTAGTACGTTTATGTATTTGTTATTTTTTTTTTATTGTGTATTAACTTTCGAGCTAAAAGATTCAGTTCATCAATGCTATGCTGGTTGCACATTAGTCTATAAATATATTCTACTCAGTTTCCTTTTTCCTATGCTAACTTTATCTCATGCATTCTTTATATTTATTTCTTATATAATCAATGTTGTTGTTATTGTCCTTTGACATTTGACGTTCTAAGTTTCTAACAGCCTGACAGTTGTATATAGTTATGAGTTAAGTGTCAGTTGTCAATTGCCATGATAATTATTATTGAAGTGTAACCACAAGAGTAGTTAAATGCAGTGACGCTTATAAACAGTTAGACATATCTCTTTGTATCTCTAAATGTTATTTTTGTTTTATTTTTTTAAGGCAGAAATTAATTTGTGATTTTTTACATCTGCTGGTACTTGTATGGCTAGTTATTTTTTATATTGTTTTAAAGTAATTTTTTGTATATTTAAGTAACGTAAATAATATTATAAAATACTATTTCAATACTGAAACTTGCTAATATTATTAAGTAGTATTGATCAATTATGATAGATAATGGGACAGATTCCGACAATTTTCTTTCAGCGATATCCGGCATTAGTGATTCTGGCGATGAGAGTCTATGTAGCACTACTTCGTTTACTCCTCTAGATCAGCAATTGGCTTCTTGTTTTAATCAATGCGATAAAAAACTCAATATTGTGCATATTAATGCGCAAAGTTTACCGGCTCATTACACAGAGTTCTTAGCAACTTTTAGTTCTAACTTACAATCTATTGGCGCTATACTAATTTCCGAAACTTGGCTAAAACCTTGCCTTTCGTCTTCCTCTTACTGTCTCCCCGGGTATAATTTAATACGCAATGACCGTCACGGTAGAGTTGGTGGTGGTGTGGCAATTTATCTAAGGTCCGATATAACTTTCTCTTTGATTGAGATGTCGTCCCAGCCACCAACGTCTAATTCTGCAGAATTTCTTCTAATTCAAATTACTTTAAATTGTACCAAAATGCTACTTGGCGTCTTTTATGTTCCATCCCTAAATATCAACTATTTTCATTCGCTTGAAACTATTCTTGAAAACCACATTCCCTCCTATAATCATGTAATAATCATGGGTGACTTCAATACCTGCATGTTAAAAAACGATCATCGCTCTTCTAAGTTGGAGTCCGTAGTTAAAGCTTGTAATTTACACTTCCTACCTCTAAATGCTACTCATAGAATTCATAACTGCCTTCCTTCCCTTTTAGACCTCATGTTTGTTAGCTCTCCTATTCATGTACTGAAACATGGGCAGTGTGATGCTGACGCTTTTTCCTCCCATGATTTAATATATTTATCGTATAATATTCGTCTTCCTAAATTTAAACATAAAGTCCTGATGCAGCGTAATTTCGGTTCAATGAATACCAATGATCTTCGTACCGATGCAATTAATCTTGACTGGGGTAAGATAAGGTCTTGTGCAAATATTGATGATATGTTATCCTTGTTCAATAAATACATTACTCACCTCTACGATATACATGCTCCTGTAAAACCAGTAAAAATTAAACATTATCCTGCGCCCTGGTTGACGGTAGATATCAGAGAATTATTAAATAAGAAGAACAAACTTAAATTAAAATGCAAATTAAATCCAAATCCACAAATTTTAGAGAATTATAAAAGAATTAGAAATCGGTGCAATCTAATTTGTCGAGATGCTCGCACACGGCATATACATGCGAATATTGAAAATAATGAGCCAGCTAAAGTGTGGCGCTTTTTAAAATCCCTTGGTGTCGGAAAAGCAAAAAACTCAACACTTCCTCCCAATCTTTGTATTTCCTCTTTAAACTCATTCTTTGCATCTTCCACTGCTACTTTTAATAATCATTTAAAGACTTTAACACTTAATGAACTTTCGTCTCTTCCATCTTCCAACGCTCCTATCTTTGATTTTTCTCTTTTTTCTGAAGACGATATTCGTAAGAATGTACTTGCTATTAAGTCTGACGCTGTTGGTGATGATGGGATAAGTCGTAAAATGATTCTACCAATACTTGATATTATTCTACCGTATATCACCTTTATCCTTAATTTCTCCATCTCCAATTCTGTGTTTCCTAAGATTTGGAAAAATTCTTTCGTTCTTCCTATACCTAAGCATGCCAATCCTTCTACTTATGCGGACTTTCGGCCTATATCTATATTACCCTTTTTATCTAAAATCCTCGAACGTCTTATACATCATCAGTTGACGCACTTCTTAAATAGTTTCTCACTGCTTAATCCTCATCAGTCTGGCTTCCGTCCGGGTCACAGTACCGCTACAGCTCTTTTAAAAATTACTGATGACATTCGTTGGGCAATGGACACTAAACAGCTGACAGTTTTGACGCTCCTAGACTTTTCCAACGCCTTTAATTCTGTCGATCATGATCTTCTTCTTGCGCTTTTAAATACTGTTAACATTTCTTCTAAAACTCTTTCTTGGTTCCGGAACTACTTACACGGGCGACAACAACGGATCAAGATTGACGATAATCTATCTCCCTGGTGTAAAACTGATGTAGGCGTGCCACAGGGCAGTGTATTATCTCCGCTCCTTTTCACTGTATTTATTCAACGTATAACTACCGCCCTTTCTTGTCACTTCCACTTATATGCAGACGATTTGCAAATTTATTCCCATACTGCCCCCGAGGATCTCAATATCGCTATTAGCTCTCTAAACTATAACCTGCAAAAAATTTCTTCTTGGAGTAAATCTTTTGGCATTCAATTAAATCCGATAAAAACACAGTCAATTATAATTGGCAGTCCCAGCCTTGTCAATCGGATCAACTGGACAACACTGCCTCCCATTGTTGTCGATGGATTTTCTGTTCCTTACAGTAAATCCGTCAAAGATCTTGGGTTGCATGTAGATGTCACCCTATCCTGGTATCCACAATTAAAAGAAATAAGCCGGAAAATGTTTGCTACGGCCTCCAGTTTGCGACGTATTCGTAACTTCTTACCCATTCCCACTAGAATTGCCCTCGCTCAATCCCTTCTCCTCCCTTCTCTTGATTATGCTGACGTGTGTTTTTCCAACCTCTCGACTATTCAACTTGATAAATTGGAACGACTGCAAAACATGGCAATTAGATTTGTGTTTGGCCTTCGTAAATTTGACCATGTTTCTAAATTTCGCTCCGCCCTCAACTGGCTCCCTATTCGTTTACGCAGGAATCTACATGTTCTTTCTCTTCTTTTCCAAATACTCTTCGATCCTAAGACTCCAACTTACCTGAAAGAAAAATTTGAGTTCCTCTCCGATAAAGGTCTTAATCTCCGGTCAGACGAAAGCCTGACTTTACGTTTTCCTTCTCACTCAACTAGATTCTATAATTCATCCTTTCATGTAAGAGCTATAAAACTTTGGAACAATTTACCTTGTAATATAAGAAAAGCCCAGAATCTCGCTTCCTTCAAGAATCTTGTCAAGTCCCACTATTTATGCCTAGTTAAGTAACTTAGTTAAGATAGTAATAATTGATTTTTAGGTTAAGCTCTTTATGTATTATTGTTTATTATTAGTTTTAGTATGTAGGTTAAGTCTTTTTTTTTCTGCTGTCACGCAATCCTTTTTTATCACTGAATTTTCATTTCCATCACGGTTGCTTGGAAGAGATAGCTATTTAGCTATAAAGTCGCCGTTTGTCCTTAATTTCCATAAATTTTTATATATCTTTTTTTGTTGTTGTTTTGTTTTGTGACAATAAAGAGTATTTGTATTTGTATTTGTATTTATAATATAAGAAAATTCAGGACAATAGTTTTGAGTGTGGCTAGGTAACTCTTTGTCCTTGTAAATAATCATTTGGAATTAAACATTTCATGTAGATTCAAGTATTAAGCTTAATACGCCAGTTGAATGTTATAAAGCCTTAAAAAGTACCTAAATATTAAAATAAGTAAAATGCTACCTAATATTGCGTATATTTACTTTATTGTATTGTATCGTTTTGTGTATGTGAATTGAGTTGTAACACAATATATTTGTAACGACCAATTGATTTTTAATTAAATGTAGTGATGATTAAAAATGCTATTATATTGTAAATTATCAATCACTTTAACAAAGTACCAATACACTGTGTATCCTGTTAATAATTTAATATGTTTTAATAGATTACAAACTTGGAACTTTTATATACAAAAATTCACAGATTTGAGAGATATACAATATGTGATAGTTACCATACATATAAATATATATTTTTAATTTCTATGTGGTTTATAACCCCACGTTAACTTGTACGATTTGAGTATGAGCCACTTGCAAAACTAACTCGGTATGAAACCGTTTATACTGTATGTAATAAACATATTTTTTGGGTTTGGTAATATGTGTGGAGGGAATTTTTTGAACAAGTTATACGAGATATATCGCAAGTTTTGTTGCTATTGTATGTACCACGATAATAAACATAAAAATTGAACTGCTATCTACAACGGATCTAGAGGATTATAGAATTGAATAATAATAATATTTGCAGATCTATAGAAAATTCCAGAAACGTTTAAAATATCAAAATGGCGGAGGAGGTACGTATTAATTGCGAAGAGATAGAATCGATACTAAAACACCTAATTGGTAATGTTGCCAAATAGAGGAGTGCAAAGCTGCTTTGCTTTATAAAGATAATTATAATTCAAATTATGCTCTTATTACATAAGATATAATGAAGAGTGATGAGAAAGGATGTAATATTTTTTCTGTCTCAATTCTTCAAGATACGTTTTTTTTTCAGAGCGTCCAACATTCTTCACGTCAAAGATTGGAGCGCGTATAATGAGGCTGCGTGGGTACTGGTATACGAGGCATTCTGTATGCTCCTCTAGGGTGAAGTGGCTGTGTGCTGAAAGTAGACACAGGCAGTGCCATGCCATCGTGGTCACGATCGGTTGCATGACTGTGGGCAAGCACAATAAGCATACACACCCACCAGATGCGACACCACATTTGGATCTGCAACTCTTGGACTGCCTTCGTTCCTAAATTATACTTAGCGTGGCCGATAAAACACCATCTTCCTGAATAGATTGGCAGGAAACAATCCCCGAAGTACCTCTCTCCTAAGTCCACTCTTTTTTAAAATAAAATCTTTTTAACAGTTAATACGCGAAATATATTAGTTGACATTCAGCAAAAGTCTTATCATCCCCGATCACATCCCTCACGAACAGCGGCTGCTTATCCGTTGAAAAATGAATTGTAAAAAGATCGAAGAAAACTCAACTATTTCACGTTTTAAAACGCTAAAAATATTGTATTATAATGTACTACTCTACAAATATGAACAGTCTAGGGGAAATAAATTGGTGAACTTTGTATATCTTTCTATACCGTAACTCGTATTTAGGTAGATGGTGTCTAAACGAAACGCACTGTGAGTGGCGATTTTTAATAAAGTGATGAACGATTTAAGTGTATAAGAAGCATGTCGCCTTGATATAAATCTTGTAAAATCTTACATCACTTTTTTAGCCTTGCCTTTCGTTTTATATTAAGTTTGTTTTTCCTATTTCCCAGTCAATGATCTCGTATACAATTTAATTGGCTGCTATATCTTAACGTCGTCTGTGCAATGTTATAGAATTGAACGACTCATTTCCTCTCTTGAATTCCTAAATGTAAATATTAATGTAATGGAATAAAAATGTGATAATATGTGTTGCTTTTTCATTTTATTATTATCTAAAATCAAGTTTACTGTTTATTGACACATTAGACTCTTGTGAAACTTAGCTTAACTTACTTGTTAACTTATATATATTAGATAAACTTATTTGTTTTAACTAAGTTAATTAGTAAATTTTCAATTTAGTTTAACTAATATTTATCGCGTTTTAAACCGTTAAAGTGTTTTATTTAAATGTGTCCCACTTACGTAGAATACAGATAGTATTTACTACAAGTTATTACTGTATATTAATTGCCTGAAATAACTATTATCTTTAAATACAAATTATCGCTTTTTAAACGGTAAGGGAGTTTAGGCAGTGTTTACAACGAAGCTTTTTTTTTTCAGACACACCCATAATTATAAACACGGACCGCGGTTCTAAGATGCTGCTGTACAAGGGATACAGGTTCGGCCTTCGGAAAGTAAATGGGTACAAGGTGCATTGGCGTTGTGTGAAGCACAGCAGTGGTTGCAGAAGCACGATCACAACAGTAGACAACGTCGTGCTCAACGAGAAGGAACATAACCATATGTATTACCATAAGAGCTATTATAAGTGTTTTAATTGATTTATATGTGAAGCATAAAAGTAATCCCACACACAGCTGTTAGTCTTGGTATTGAATCTTTCTTTTTATTTAATTTAGCCATCTCATCTACATCTTATTTTACTTCTATTTAAATCTTTTAATTACGTGTAATGTCCATAAGAAATAAAAATACATCAAATATTCGTTCAGAAATATAAATTTAAAAAAAAGAACAATGTTTATTCCATGGAGCATACATTTACGCGTAAGTTATACTGATCTGTGCCCAGGCTGACCGAAATATATTACTATTTTTCTTGCTTCTACCTAGGATTTTTTGCGCTGAGCGCATTGTTGGAAATGCGTAAATACGGAGCAACAAAAACTTTAACGTTTTATAAAAAGTTATTGCTTACCTAAAAATGTATATCATGATTAGCAAGAATAATGGGCAGGGATTGAATACCCGTCATTGTGATTTATTTCAATCAGTATTTTCAATCCTCTTACTATCTTTTATACCATTAAAATTATGAATTGAATATTACTTCGTTTTAGCGTTATTAGTTATAGTTTTACTTCGTTATTATGTATAGCTTTATAAAGGAAGAGGGGCATAATTATTTTCCAGTAAGTATAAATTAATATTTACAACCACAAAAATAGAGAATTATTAATTATTTTTTTTAGTTTTAACTAGGTTAATTGAGTATTTTAACACTTTAAATTTATGAATTATTATTTTATTTTATATTTCGTACTTAATAGATAACCTTAGTTAAAATTGTAATGGATCAAAAAATTGTATCTAGCATTATTTAAGTCGCGTGTCTGCATTTATAACAGACTAAAAATTAAACATTTCATATTTTTTATTATAAACATAGCGTAGTTCACATGATTTTTATAATAAATAATATATTGCATATTATATAATCAGTGTTTTATTTAATGTACTTTACGCGTAAAATTACTTTACAGATAGCTTTTCAAGGAGGCTGAAGAGGTACAAAACTTATTGAGGACTAGCTGAGTTAGCGACGTAATAGTTATTTTGGGTATAAATTTTTGTTTTTGCAAACCTGTTCAACTCTATAAATTTAAGTTGTTACGCACGACGTCGTCCGCGCCCTGTCGTTCTTGCAAGTTAATCTTAAAAGATAGACATAGCGTTGCGCACTTTTTATTTAAATCTTTTAAAGAGGAATCAGTCTTTCATACACATTTCTTAGTTATCTTGAACCGTTTTCGCAGCGTACGCAAATGAAACCCACAGAGATGAAAAATTTCCCCCGTTTTGTTCACTAATCACGCTGTATCTTCGCTTCTATTAGTCACAGCGCGATGTTTTACAGCCTATAGCCTTCCTCGATAAATGCTCTAACCAACACAAAAAAAGTTCTATTCGAACCCATAGTTCCTGAGATTAGCGCGCACAAACAAACTCTTCAGCCCAATTCAAACTTTTATATTGCATTTAACTTACAGTTTGACGCTTTGACAGTAATTTATCAATTTACAATTTTTATGAAACATTTATTCATTTATTGAACAAAAATATATGAAGCCCTGACGGATGCCCCAAATGCAGCTTCAACACTTTTGTGCTAATAAAGTTAGCTACGTGTCTTGCCAACTCACTCAACTGACTGTGCATAACATCGTGGATTCGATACAGGCGACTAACTGCAAGCATTGCACGAGTTAGCGGTGCCTCGGCAAGTAAGTAAGACAAAAAAAAACTGCGACAGACATCTTTCTACTGTTCGTATTGTTTTGACCAGCCCGGTCTGTGTATTGGCGAATGCATCAGCGATACTCAGTATTTTTATTGGTTCATAAAGGATAAAACATAATATAAAACATTAGTATATTTTAAATATTTGATCTCTTTTTGCCATAAATTTTGAAGCTGTGTTGTTGTAATGTAAAATAAAAGTAATTTAAAAGTGTTTTTTTTTGTTATGAATACATTTAATATAACTTGTCTAATTATACGAATCATATGTCAAGCATATTACAAAATATCCTTCACATTATTTATGAATTTTTATATCAAAAATTATCATATTTATCTTAACTGTGATAGAATTATAAAGTATTTTTTATCTTGTTGTTTTTTTCACAGAACTATCATACTACTTCGTGGAGAAGGGAAAACGGCAGCACTTAGTCGTTGATGACTACCTTTTCAGCATGCAGTACGAAGCTTCTTGTAAAAAACGCTGGCGCTGCGTCAAACAGCGACAAGGCTGCCGCGCCACGGTCATGACGTTTGAAGACCAGATCATTTCCATTAAAGAAGAGCATAATCACACACCGAACTATTCAAATTGATGTCAAAAACAATGTAGTCCATTCCAAATTCAAGATTACATTAATTTGAACAGCGCTGTAATTCGTCTGAAAAAAAATACCAACAATGCGTTACTATGGGTCCATACAGTTACAGTTACAGTGCAAATGAAGGAGAATCGAGGAGCACAAAGAATGGAGAAAAAAGGAAATCCACAACAGTGTCACAAAAACTACTTCTTTACAATAATATTCCATTGTTTGATTTTATTATATAGCTTATGTGATAAAAATTTAAATTAATAAATGAACAAGTTGATTTTAATTGAGTTATTGGTGTTTTATTGAATACAAATAAAGTTTTAAGATGTCATTGAGTAAATGTATACGATCTATTGTAAATTTTAAGGTTTTTTATATATATTTACAGTGAATTGAAAATCAATTTTAGATTTAAAAAAAAACTGCAGAACTGTAGGTTTTGAACCGGCATCTATAACATTCCGTGCCGTTGTACTAACCCATTGAGGTATTGTTTCCTATGTGTTGTCAATCTAAAATAGATTTTATAATTAACATAATGCCATCATGTGAAATAACATGTGAAAAATATTTAAGTTTAAGTCTTAAGTCGTAAGTACTTCAACGGCTTATAAGGCGATTTATATTAGTTAAATTTAATTGAATTAACTACGTCGAAACGTCGGGCCGTAGTTAAAATAATATAAATCGCGTTTGAAACCGTTAAAGTATTTTGTATTTAAGTTTTCAAACATTGACAGTGCTTCAAGACACTACTAACGTGTAGATATATTTTTTAGATCTGAAACCCGTCTTTGCGCTTTCACAAAGAGGCAACACCGTCATCATCATCGGAAAGTACCGCTTCAATAGAGTCACGAGGCACGGGAACAAGTCGCGATGGGTTTGTGTGAAAGCGAAGTCCGGATGCCGCGCCTCCCTGCACACGGAGGATAACGCGATTGTCCGTGTTTGGGGCCTACACGACCCCTTAGCGCACACCACCGCTAACAGATTTAAATAAGTCATCAGGTTTAAATAAAACACCGTAACGGTTTAAAACGCGATATGTATTAGTTAAACATATTTGAAAATTATTTTAACTACAATTGCAGCGCCATGGTCAAAGAAAGACTAAAGATAGAGGTTGTCTCTGACGTCAAAGTAAAAACTGCTAAGCTAGCGCCACCTGTTCGCATTCTGTTCGTAGTTGGTATTTGGCGAAACTGGTTGGGTGTTTGCAGAATTGGCTAACTTCAAATAAGTTTCAAATAACTTTCACTAATCTATGTCGCGTTTTAAACTGTTAAAGTGTTTTATTTAAGTGTGTAATACTCGCGTAAACTACAGACAGTATTTAAGTCATCACGTGCCTAACTTATGACAGTTACATAATTGTTTATGTACATTTAGTTCGTGGATTCAATTAATACAACAAATTCTATATAGTTTATTGTCGCATACGCTTAAGAGACCACTCGCACTAGCGACGTAAATGCTCACAGTATGGACACCTAAATATTGTCAAAAGAATTATTATATAGAAGTATTTGTGGTTCGTGGATAATCATAAAAGTGTTTTTAAAAATAATCGTGTTCCTTCAAAAACTCTACAAAGCGTATTATATATTGAGAGTTACGTTTCGTTATTCATTTACGCAATATTATATCAAAAGCAGTGTTTCTCTGTCGGACGTTTGTCTAATCAATTTTAAATTTTCAAAACATGTTGGTCTTTGTCTGGAACCGGATGTTAATTGGGTAGGAATATCGGAATTCCGTCCGGGTCGAACCAGCGCCGTGAAGATTAATTGAGTTTTGGTTTCAGTCTAGATTTACGAATATCCAAATCCAAAATCGGTCGATAGCACATTTAGTTTGGATGTTGGTTACTACTTGTTAGTACACGCGACAACGCTCGAAAACACTAGTTTTCGAGCGTTGACGCCGCTACTTTTTTGTATAAAACCTTTACGTCAATTAAAAATTACGATATAACGCAGAGTACGTACTATCCTCCACTAAATATACTGTAATAGACACAGGCACTGGTAATTAATTGCGCGGGAATATTAACAAGTTTGTTTTTTTTTTTAACTTTAATTGACACCATACTCAGTTAGGGTCAAGGTTTATTTAAGGCTAATTTTTAAAAATAATCTGTATAAAATTCGGTTTCTTGAAGATAATTCTAATACAATTATGAATTAATATTAGACGCCTAATAGACATAAGTATTCTAGAATAGTGCCTTTTTGGAACTCGATGTCATACAAAAAGGTTGATTTTAGTAAATGGTGCCTTTAATATGTAAAATATGTATAAAATTATATTTTTATTTTATGTCAGTGATGTACTTGGAACTTAATTTCATACAGTTATGCACATGATTTTTTTTTTATATTAATTTAAAAATAATTTTAGTTTAAACGCCAGAGTATAGGAACGAAATGAAAGTTTCGTCTATTTTCTAGAGTTGTTCAATCGCTTGATATTTTTATAAGCTTTAGTTAGTTATGTCTTACGTTTGAATTTGTCCATTTAAAAATGTATCTTAGTAGTATGGCTTAAGGCGCAATCTAGTTTAACGGGTTAAGGTGGGTTTAAAGCTTCTATAATAACTTTAGCAATATTAACTATAATTTTATAGGTTTTTAGTTCGTAATCTTGAATGTTATCTTTATAACTTATCATATTAACACTTTTCATTTAATTATTTTGAATAACATTTTCAATATTCAACTGTTGGTTTTATTTTTATCACACGTTATGGAAAGCAAAGCATTTTACCCGAAATATTTCTCAAAAGGGCAATACGGCATTATAGAATACGTCGTATTATTATATTATAAAATAAAAAACTTTGTAAAGGCATTGTTTAAATTATTTTAATATCCCACTGGGAAATGTTTCCCCCGTACTGGTTTTAAGAGATTTTATCCATCATTCTGCTACTGTCTGGGTGAGTATAATGTCTACCTACATTAAAAGAGTATGATAACCGTGATTGATGGCTGAACGTCCTGCTCAATGTGGTATTACACCATCTACTTCTTAACTTAGGGCTTTCTTGACAAGTAACGTTTAAACCGTTTGAAGCCGTACAAAATGATAAGTTAAAAATAAGATGTTATTATTAGTATATAATGAATGCCTTGCTTTCAGCTTTCTTTGGAACAACCCTGAAAGGTAACCCGGCTTTATTTTACGAAGGACATAAATTTATCCGACATAGTTCCAGTAAAGGCCCGAAGAGTCGATGGATATGTTTTAAGGCCAAACTTGGTTGCCGCGCCACCGTTGTCATGACCGAAAATACAATAGTGAAGATACTGAATCACCATTCTCATTAGCAGACTTTCGGCCGTTTCGGTCGTCCTCTGAATAAGAATTGAGAAACATTCAATAATAGTGTCTATCTAATAAAAAAAAACCCTTCAAATGGAACGCTTTGAAGGTTTTAGTCGGTTAATATATTATCAGTGAAATAGTGGCCTTACTATTACCATACTACACGCTACTACAATCGAAGAATTTTAAATTAAAATTTTCCACGTCACGTATATTGTTTTATGTCAAATTCATGTATATATACTCGTACTATTTGACAGAAAATGTTCTCTGTCTGTATGATTGGCGAAATCGATTTTGAATGTTATTTTAATAAAAACATATGTTAAGAATCATTTTGATGTTATTTTTTATTGTAAACATAACATACCTATTGAAATATTACATTTTGTAAACAATATTTTCAAGATGTACTTTTTTATAATAAACGTTTGGTTATTCTGAGGCTTAATTAAAATTTTACCACTTTTATAAAATGTATAAAAATCAAAGCTTTTTTAGGTTAGCTACATTTAAATTTTGAAACAAAAAGGTTCGGCGAGATCATACGTCAAGCGTTTTAAAACTGTTACTAGTTACTTTCACGATATCGATAAGAGGTCGACCGATGCTAAAAATAGATAATTACAGATTTATGACTCCAGGTCGAGTAAAAATGGACGCAAACTAAAAAACAATTCGGTGGCTTTTATCGTATAAAGAATCATTTCTTGACATTTTTTACAGTCACAATCATTAGATTTAACATGAATAATTAAAGAAGTATATTTATTTAATTACTATTTGCTTTTTTATCTTATCATAAGTTACATCAGCCGTTTCTATGCGATCACCAGGATGACTATTGATGACGTGCAAGGTGCATTGCAATGCGTGTTAAAATGACATCCGTTCGGTAATGCCTGTGGCCATTTCAAGCGAAATTGTATAAAACAAATTTTTGTTTCAGTGACGTACACGAAATCGCAAAGAGGTCGACCAATAATGCAGATAGGCAAGTACTCATTTAGAGTTTCTCCTAACGTCTGGAAAAACAAAGAGAAGACAGAGACAAAGGAGTTGATGCGGTGGACCTGCACAAGAAATAATAGACAGTGCAAAGCGTTTGTGAAGTCGTACAAAAAACAAATCGTGCATATCAGTAATTGCCATAACCATTGATTATGATTGACGTGAAGACCGTATTTAAACGTCGTTGAGTTACTACAAACTCAGTTATTATTAAAAAGTAAGCCAACCTTGGCGACTACTAATGATGTCAAATAAAAACTTGTGCATATAGATGGTATTTTTATTTGCGCAGCAGAAGAGCATAAACAGTCTTCAACTGTTGTAACTCCTTTTACTCTTATCAGAGATTCATACTACATGAATATATCAGGGAATCGCACATTTTCACGAATTGCCTCAAGTTACGGATGTGTACTGTTGCTTAAAAATTATGTTTCTCCCATACTTCTACTAACAACAAATAGTAATGAAGAGGTTTTTACTACCCAACACTTAGAGAGAACCAGAACCTATCTCAATAAGCAATAATTTTGTTAACACAAATATGTTCCAAATGCAAACTAATGATTTATGTACTGTCTATAGTTTACGCGAGTAGTACATATTTCAATAAAACACTCGAACGGTTTCAAACGCGATATATTAGTTAAACTTATTTT